CTAGGTGCGTGTTCGAATCCCACCGCTGCCACCACTGTTATGGCGTGAAGGGGGCGTGGAGGTACCTCCACTGCTTCCGCCACTGTACCTCTCTTAAGCCGCCGCTACACCTCTCTTATGCCGTGATGACAGAGGGCGTGGAAATATCCCGCTCTGTCCCCTGTTCAGTATGCTGCCACCATCTTGTTATTTCAAGAAATCTAGTAAACTTATCATTGCTTACGTCACTGTCCTGGCTTAACTCGTAATTCGCCGAAGCTTTGGGAGGTCCTGGAGTCGTCAAGGAAGAGGGTAACACTTAAGGAAATGTTGGGTTGAATTAAACTCGTACACATTCCTATCCTATTCTATTTACCTACGTCGTTATATACACTATATACACACTGTGCCGACGTTTGTCGGTTCGTCTTACATTGGGAATAATCCTGCAGCGCCTCATCATTTCTACCTCCTGTCACCCTGCTGTCGGGAATTCTACGCCTTGGAATCCTGAATGAACCTAGTCCGTCTGATTAGCCTATCTTCCCTGGGGTTTACACTTTACAATTATCACTGTTACACTTAATGTTCATGGCTATATGAAGATGGTTTCACTTACTTGACCTGAGGAAGAAGAGGCTCGCCATCACCAACCAGCGTCCGCCTATGGCCACAAAGGTAATACTAATGTAATAATGACATTAATAATAATATAATATATGAATAGAATAGAATCATAAAATGATTCGTCTAGGGTTTATATAGCCTCGGGTCGCTGACTAGTCGTGTTCCGGGTCTATTGGTCCTCCTACGTGATTTTGGGTCGGTGTGGCTCGATTATTGGTTGTCGATCGAGAAGGGGTTGACTCTTTTGAGTGATCCGCCGTCTCCTACTCAGCGTTTTCCGTCTGCCATAGTGCTTATGACCTACTTCATATAGCTCTTCCTCGGCGTCAGCGTTACTACGCTGCCGCGTTAACATTCTGATTAGTCAGGAATTGCTTGTACACTTCCTTGTAAACCCAAGCTTCCCGGTTCATGTCCTCATTACTGTTTTTTAATATTACAGTCTAATTATTGTGATTCCAAATTTCCCCCCCAAAAACTACATCTACATGTACGTAACCTTTGATCCATCACACGCCGTTTTTCTCAGCGTTTTCATGCAGACATATCTATGTTAGTGTAATGTAAAATTTGTTTCCCCCGCGGAGTCATTAATGTCTCATACTCTTACGTAAGTGTTTCGTTGTTCTCTCAACGTCTTCATGAAGATATATATATATATTGTGACATGTTGCGCAATGGAGGAAAACCCCTCCCCCAACACTGATGTGGCGGATGAGTCAGCGCTCCGTCATCCCCCACCGCACGGTGACGTAAGACGGTGTGAGGTAACAGCGTTGTTAGGCTATACGCAAACATAGCTACGTGGCACCGTTTGCTATTGTGACGCGACACGCGACGACGCTGTTGACTCGGACAACAGGCAACAGCGAACAGAATAAACGCCGGCTCAGCGGTAAGCGCGTTTTGTACAGATTAACTTAGCTGAGTGTTTATTTCTGTTTAGATCTCGGAAGTACAAAATCACAGGCCGGAGCAAAATACAAGAACCAACAAGGACAACTACAAGGAGCCTTCCCAGACACCTGTAATGATCAAATCAAAGGTAAGGGCGTCCGCCATAATCGTATATTAGTTATATTGTTATATTAGTGCTAGATCTGTAAGGAAAAATACATTCGCTGAATAAATTCGTTTTTGGGAAGAAGTAAAAAGCACAGTTGAACACTCGTTTAATTTTTGCTTTCAGGGTGGCACATTTTTACAATAAATCGAAAAATGTATACAATTCCAGCTGAATGGCGTTATGTTTCAACGTAAGCACCTAGCTTTTGTACTTCCCAATCTGCTCCACTCTTAAGAGGTGTATTTGTGGTTGACTCCAAGGCAAACAACCATTTTTGTTCATGGGGTATTCGATGGCTTTCCACTTTACTGCACTCATTCCGTGTCCATTTATCGTCATCTCCTTACGCTCTTTTTGCCATAACGGGTTCATTTCTGAAAGTCTGGAAGCAGTACACACATATTGTGCAGGTGGATACATATGAGATACTGTGCAAATACATGAAATTGTAAAACAGATTTTGGTAGTTATGCTGCCAACAATATTCACCACACACTGGTTGGCGCAGCCTCCAAGAGGTAACAGTATCTGCGATGTGACGTTTCTCCACGCTACTAGCCGAATTTCAGTGGAGAGCACAGCATTTTTTGGCAAGTGCTGGAGGCTGATTTTTAGCAAACCGTGTGTGTGTGTGGAATCTCGTTCTCGGCAGACTACGGCCCAACNCATGAAATTGTAAAACAGATTTTGGTAGTTATGCTGCCAACAATATTCACCACACACTGGTTGGCGCAGCCTCCAAGAGGTAACAGTATCTGCGATGTGACGTTTCTCCACGCTACTAGCCGAATTTCAGTGGAGAGCACAGCATTTTTTGGCAAGTGCTGGAGGCTGATTTTTAGCAAACCGTGTGTGTGTGTGGAATCTCGTTCTCGGCAGACTACGGCCCAACATTTTACCTTAAACATTAACTGTAGCTTTGAATTTCCGAGACCTGGATGCCGGTGTGAGCCCAACTCAAGAAACACGAATGAGGCCGCTTATGTTTTACGTGCATTTTGCTTTCACAGGAACTGCTGAATATGAACTAATAAAACTGGAAAATATTGAGGAGAATCTGTTTTCAGGATCCCACAGTGTGATTTTTCCATTCCTGCTGTATACATTAGAGCGCTGTTCTTTATCTCTAGGTCTCGGAAAGACAAGACCACACGCAGGAGAAACAAACAACAAAGAAAAGGGAATGGAACGGGGCGAAGCCTTCCAAGATACCCGTATTGATCAGAGCAAAGGTATGATAGTTCTAGATGGGATGCCTCTCTAATCCTGCTTTAGTTTATTTCTTACTGACATCAACACAATGTATCTAATGGCACGCTGTGGAGGCAGAGCCGATTTTGAACAAACCATGTGTGTGGAACCTAGTTCTAGGCAAATTACGGCTCAACATTTTACCTTAAACATTAACTGTAGCTACTGAATTTCCGACCACCGGATGCGGGTAAGGGCCCAAATAAAGACACGCGAAATGAGGCCATATGTGTGTTACGTGCATTTGGTTTTCACCGGGACTGCTGAATATGAACTACTCAAACTGCAAAATACTGTGATGAACCTGTTATCAGGATCCCACAGTATGATTATTCCATTCTTGCCGTATAAATTAGTGCGCTGTATTTTTTATGTCTAGGTCTCTGAAGGACAAGATCACAGGCAGGAGAAGCAAGCAACGATCAAAAGGGAATGGAAGGGGGCGAAGCCTTCCAAGATACCTGTATTGGTCAGATCAAAGGTATGATAGTGGTGGATGGGATGCCTCTCTAATCCTGTATTAGTTTATTTCTTATTGTCATCAAGACAGTGTAACTAATGAGCAAAATTCTTGGCTGTCATTTAAGTAAATAGATCTTACTGCAGGTTACTGAAAAAATGTGATGTAACAGGCTTTTGAAACCAGGATCTGAGGCCTACAGGCAAAACCAGTTTCCAAAGTGTCGTCATAATTTGAGCTAACCCATACCCGATTACATTAAAGTTAACCGCAAAACGAACACATATAATAAACCGAAGAAATACAGCCAAAACTTCCAGCTGGGTGACGTGGTGACTTATAGCATGCTACATATGTAAGCGAGTAACTCTCCTGTTATAGGCTGGAAGATAGGATTCATTTTCTTCATCGGCTATATCCGCCACACATCATTAACCCATCACAGCAGTAGCTATCTTACAGAACCATCTCATACTCATAGAAAATGGCTAAAAAATGGAAAATCCAGGTTAATGAAACAAAATACATTTAATCAACGTTCACGCTTCGAAAGGCAAATGCTCCCCGACTCAAATAAACCACACTATCATCCAACGATGAGATGAAGCAAAGTATCTCGGACTTACCATTGACAGCAAGCTCAACTGGAAAGAACACATCCTTACGAAAAGAAAACAAATGGTTCAAAAAAGCAAAAGACCATACTGGTTTATAGGAGAAAATCACACCTATCCAAAGACAACAAGCTGCTAATACACAAATCAGCCATCAAAGCTATATGGACATACAGATTCCCACTCTGGGTATGCGTCATGAAATCAAATACAGATAACATCCAACGAACTCAATCAAATATTCTTCGTCTCATCGTAAAAGCGCAATGGTACATATCTAATCACACCATTCACACCGACCTCAAAACTCCATACTTCACAGATGTCATCAAAGAACACACCATCCACCACATAAACAAATTAGCTAACAACCCCAACCCACTGCTCCAACCGCTTTTAAATCAACACGACCACAGAAGAATTGGGCGAAGTTGCCAGAAGACCTAAAATTTTTTTCGGAAGTGTCGATGGAAGTGACACACTAAACACCTGCAGTGTACAATTCATAATAATTGTACACAAGGCAGCAAATTGTCAATAAGTTTGTAGTATCTGAATGTCCATAAAGCAGATTACAAAAAAAAATTCTTCATGATCGATCTGTTACTTGTTTCACTCGCAGATCTCTGAAATAGTTTGAACATGTAACTCGCAGTCCTCGGATGGCAATCATCAGAAAGAATGTTGTCATATTTCAGAGGATACAGCACTTCTTGAAAACCAGGCTCAGACCCTGAAATTCCTGGTGCCAACATTTTTCCTTTCCATCTTTCATTGCTGGCGATTTTCCTTTCGTTTTGATGTCACGAGTAACAGAGGATATCCCACCATGCATTCTTTTCATAATTTATTTAAGGACAATTATGTGCTCCAAAATGTCCATCACGATGTGGTCAACATGGGTATGTTTTTTTTTTCATCCAGAAAATGGAACGGCTTACAGAGGATGGCAATTCGGCACCTATGGATTCAGTCCAAGGGTACAGGTCATATGTGGAAGAACACAATGACAGGGAGTTTGAGCCGTGTCCCTTGACCCTGTGGGTCAAGAACCCAGTTCTCCTACCCACTTAGACCCGTGAACTCCTGTTCAATGTGGGTAAGGGACAGGCTCATAAGACGACTTGCTTGTACGTGATGTACTATGCCTCCCCAAGGTCGAGTAGGGGATCTCGGGAGAGGAAAACTGCTGTCGGCACTATGGGCCAATCTGGACGGATCGGCTAGTCCGAACTGGTAGGGAATACACAACCCAAGTATACATAAATACAACTGGCGTTTCCAAACATATAAATAAATGTATATATTGATAACATAAGTATACAGGTGTACTCTGCCTGATGGGCAGGGACTGGTCAGAACATAATCGACAGTTGATGCAGAACTACACTGTGCCTAGCCGCACAGACTCAAGTATGGGCACGCCTCATGGCATCTTTTGACTTCTCTAGAAAAAACCTGAATTTTGGCAAGCCTTAAGGGCACAAGGAAATATACTCTGGTTACTTGCACACCTGAGGGGCGATCGGCTGTTTAAGCCAACTCAACTCCAACCAAATTAATTAACTTACGCCACATGGCGTCGTGATGAAAAGGAAACCATCTACAACAGTAAGTCACTTACTGATGTTTCCGGAATTACAAACACAAGATTAACCTCACGACTTGATGCGTCCTTGATCACGTCGTGAGGGCACTCTTCCCCCTTCAGACACTGCACCGGCCGAAACAGAATTTCACAAGATCCATTCAACATAAACGAAACTGAATTTGGAAGCAGCGATGTTACCTTGCTGAAGCCAACGGGGAGAGAGAACGACGCATTCGTTCTGCATAAGCAGGAAACCTCGCATTGCGTCCAGGAGGGGGGGGGACAAGGTCAGCTGACCTGACGTCAGCTAAGATTTTAAGCGGAAAGAAAGAGGAACGGCTCGCATCCTGGCGTTTCGGGGGGGGGGCTCCAAGGAACTTCACGGAGAAGAACCGTTGCACGGTTCAAGTTTAAAGGTGTGTAAATTCATTTCTTTTGAACTTATCTCTTAACACTAAATTCTATATTGCTACTTTTCAATTCTGAGTTGAATTTTCTCGCGGATCTATGACACGTAACTTTATCCTTCTAGTAGAGTTCTCGTTAGAAAATAAATGGAGATAACGCAACTCCAGAGTTTAGTACATTTATATAGGAAAAAGTATCGGAAACTTTGCACCCTTATGCAACTTCCACAATGTTTCATTAAACACTTTGGTGTCAGCAGAACTACTTTCACGGTACTCAAAATTCTATGAGAATGTTGCGCAAATTTATCAACCATCTGAATCGTGGGCTATATAGTAGTCTAGGAATAGCTGATGTATTATGTCGTTGTATCTCAATTACATATAGTAACCGACAAAACGAAATAGCTTATTGATTTTTCACACATATGAGTCGAATTATAATTATATCATGTGTAACTTTTGCTATGCAACGACGGCTAGAATGGTTGATAAATAAATAGCCGTTCTTAGGAAGAGCTCGGCAATCAGGTTCCAGTCGCAACGCATACGCAAACAACAACATAAGAACTGAAAATTCTATTTGCAATTTGTCGAGAAATTATTAACAAGATGATTGGGCAATGTATAATTCGGCTCCTTCAGTGTTGCTGAGGAAAGTTAGAGCTGTAATTAAATTGACATAACAGTTGAACGATATCCACCTGACAGAAATGACGTGAGCACATATGCCGAAAAATTATCGTTGTTTTTGCTGTTGCCATGCAACGACTAGAGATGACATTGTAGGCAGCAGAAAAGAAGCATATAGTAATTTGTAAAGAGTATGAAATCAGCGATATCAATGTAACTACTTACAGTTTCGGGTTTTGTACTCATCAAAAATTTCACACATTCATAAAGCGTCTGAAGTCAACCCTGCACGTGAAAATATTAATGGAAACATATGTTATAGGGCGCCATGTATCAAAAGAGAATAAGATAGTATAGAGAAGAATTTTGGAGATGTGATTCTAAATCATTTACACAATTGCAGGGCTCCGTTTTCTCGTGGACTTCTTTACACAGAGCAATGTATATATACGTAATTAGTAATAGTTGCCTGGCTCTGTTGCAGGAATTACCACAAAGGACAGCCGGGTGAGGTTTCAAGAGCCATATAGTACCACTAGCATATCTTTGAAACCTGGATCCAGCATGGTCTTGAGGCAGGGCCAGTTACCAAGGGGTCGCCCTATTTTGCAGTATCCAATACAAAATTACAAGAATGTTCAGCCTAAAACCAACACGTACAATACACGGAAAACGTGTGGCAAAAACATCCAGGTGAGTGGTGCATTCACGTATTCCGTGGTTTACATTTAACTCAGAAATCTTCCTCGTTTTTGTAACGTCTTACCCTTCCTTTCCCTGTGACCTACTTTTAGGTTTTTAACTGAATGCATTCAGTCTCACTTATAATTTAGTCTTCGGTATCACTGATTGATTATTGATACTGCTGGAAGATACGAAATAATTTGAGAGGTGCATATATTTGTGATACTTGAAGGTAATTACTTAACTTCAAACACAAATTTGTATTGGTGCAATTGTAAGAATGTTCATCACGATCGTTTTGATGCAGCTCCCATTTGGTTGCTTGATGCGGTGAGAAACATCTACTTCCCACTACATCCCCAACCTCACTCAACAGCCTTTCATATTTCACGATAAATGTTTGAAATTGTGCAAATAGCTGTAGGTGTTCACCAGCTCAGTGCAAATTATCGTGGTCTAAATTAGCTCGAAAACTAATTGTAGGTACGGATACTCCATTCATTTTATTACAGTTACAGTTTTTGTAGAAAAAAATCAGTCCATAGTGAGTCTTTGGGTTTCCTATGTTACTTTATTCTTTATTTCATTGCCCTTCGTTTTGTACAGATTAAGTTAGCTGGGTGTTTATTTCTGTTTAGATCTCGGAAGTACAATATCACAGGCCGGAGCAAAATACAAGAACCAACAAGGACAACTACAAGGAGCCTTCCCCGATACCTGTAATGGTCAAATCAAAGGTAAGAGGTTTATGGAAGGGCGTCCGACATAATTGTATATTAGTTATATTGTTATATTAGTGCTAGATCTGAAAGGAAAAATATATTCGCTGAATAAATTCGTTTTTGGGAAGAAGTAAAAAGCACAGTTGAACACTCGTTCAATTTTTGCTTTCAGGGTGGCACATTTTTACAATAAATCGAAAAATATATACAATTCCAGTTGAATGTCTTTATCTTTCAACGTAAGCACCTAGCTTCTGTACTTCCCAATCTGCCCCACCCTTAAGAGGTGTATTTGTGGTTGACTCCAAGGCAAACAACCATTTTTATTCGTGGGGTATTCGATGGCTTTCCACTTTACGGCACTCATCTAGCGTCCATTTATCGTCAGCTCCTTACTTCCTTTTTGCCATAACGTGTTCATTTTTGAAAGTCTGGAAGCAGTACACACATATTGTGCAGGTGGATGTATATGAGATACTGTGCAAATACATGAAATTGTAAAACAGATTTTGGTAGTTATGCTGCCAACAATATGCACCACACACGGGTTGGCGCAGCCTCCAAGAGGTAACAGTATCTGCGATGTGACGTTTCTCCATGCTACTAGCCGAATTTCAGTGGAGAGCATAGCATTTTTTGGCAAGTGATGGAGGCAAAGCTGATTTTGAGCAAACCGTGTGTGTGGAATCTCGTTCTCGGCAGACTACGGCCCAACAGTTTACCTTAAACATTAACTGTAGCTTTGAATTGCCGAGACCTGGATGCCGGTGTGTGCCCAACTCAAGAAACACGAATGAGGCTGCTTATGTTTTACGTGCATTTTGCTTTCACAGGAACTGCTGAATATGAACTAATAAAACTGGAAAATATTGAGGAGAATCTGTTTTCAGGATCCCACAGTGTGATTTTTCCATTCGTGCTGTATACATTAGAGCGCTGTTCTTTATCTATAGGTCTCGGAAGGACAAGACTACACACAGGAGAAACAAACAACAAAGAAATGGGAATGGAAGGGGGCGAAGCCTTCCAAGATACCTGTATTGATCAGATCAAAGGTATGATAGTTCTGGATGGGATGCCTCTCTAATCCTGCATTACTTTATTTCTTACTGACATCAACACAATGTATCTAATGGCACGCTGTAGAGGCAGAGCCGATTTTGAACAAACCGTGTGTGTGGAACCTAGTTCTAGGCAAATTACGGCTCAACATTTTACCTCAAACATTAATTGTAGCTACTGAATTTCCGACCACCGAATCCGGGTAGGAGCCCAAATAAAGAAACAGGAAATGAGGCCATTTTTTTGTTACATGCATTTGTCTTTCAGCGGGACTACTGAATATGAACTACTCAAACTGGAAAAAAACTGAGGAGAACGTTATCAGGATCCCACAGTATGATTTTTCCATTCGTGCTATATAAATTAGAGCGATGTGTTTTTTATCTCTAGGTCTCGGAAGGACAAGACCACAGGCAGGAAAAGCAAGCAACGATCAAAAGGGAATGGAAGGGGGCGAAGCCTTCCAAGATACCTGTAATGATCAATTCAAAGGTATGATAGTTGTGGATAGGATGCCTCTCTAATCCTGCATTAGTTTATTTCTCATTGTCATTACCACAATGTAACTAATGCGCAGTATTCTTGGCTGTTATATAAGTAAATACACCTTCATCTGTGTTACTGAAATAATGTATTATATCAGACGTTGGCAAATTTTAAATCATTTGCATACGTACCTCTTTTTTGGAAAACATATTGTCCTATATTCATATAATAAATCTGGAAACGACTTAAATTGGATACATATGAAATTCGAGAAATAATTTTTGTGAAAGTGTTCACATGAAATGAAAGTTATAATGTATAGAAGGAACGACACATTTCATATTACATAATTCATAAAAAATAAATTAATTGTCTATAAAATGAATATGTTCGTAATATCACCACATATCTTTTAGATTAATTGTTAGTTGCAAGTATTGTCTCCAAACCTTCATGTACGCGTTTAAACAGTGCCTCCATGATTCACTCTTTTGACAATATCATGTGGGGTCATGAATATACAGTCCAAAATAATTACTAGTTTTTGTGGGTGCAATATAAGGAAGTGCTTCTGCTTTCAAAATGCATCCACCTTCGCACTTATCGTCAATTTGTACAAAATTTGAGTAGAAAATTGTAATAAGTGTTCACACAAAACTTCTCTTGTAAACTTAGTTAAGTATGGCGAACTTCAGAGAACACAAATAATTAAGAATAATATTGTAACCGTTCTTTGGTTGTGCCAGCTCTGGTAGAGAAATTCAACTCAGTCCGTGTTGACTGGCCACAACTTGGGTGATTAATGAGGCTTTAGGCGTAGGAAAGTCACACTCAATACCAATCAACTGTTTTGATGTCTTTATTCAAATTGCACTATTTAAATGGTAACTGCACCGTAGTGACCCACTTAACAGATCTGTGGGTTTTAGGGTTCCTCACTGCTCACTAAGACACACAAGTAAATAGGCACCCCCGAATGTATATATGGGGATCAGAACACGTGTACCCCCAGTGAATGTAAATTTCAGACTTCTCCGCCTAGCACCCTCTGAATGGTAAATATCTGCCCTGGTTTCCCGAAATTCGGGCAAAGGACAACCCACTTGAGAATATGATTGGCTGGACCGGGCAGACTATGAGGTTGCTTAATGTTTCTCCTCGAATTAGAAGAGCATATGTCCACTCGTGTAGAGGTTAGGGGTGAAGTTTGCCACCAGCTGCATGGTTGTCAGACTGGGATTTTGGGGTAGCATAACACGACGCTTCTAAAATTATGACTTCCCTTGTCTCAAAGTTTAGAATTTCTAAGAACTCGGTCTCGTGTTACGCATTAACTTGACTGATTTACGGATGGGCAGCTGCCTTCAAGTTTGACCCATGACACCTGTTGCGTCTCAAGGGGTAGGGTGGGGATCTCCAATTGTGAGACGAAACAGGAATTTCACCGAACCCTAACCATACACAAAACATCGATTGACCATCCCATAAATTGGACAGTTACAACATATATATAAAACCGAATCATTCTCCATGTGTCTTTCGGATTAATTGTAAGCTGCATTTTCTGCTCTTTATTTTCCTGTGCCCCGTTCTTAACCTGTGCGTGCGTGATAATTCCTTTTGAAAGCATGCTGTAGCATGTAGATGGAGGGAATCCAGGGCAATTTTTGTATTAGTACAGGGGATACTAGGATTAATTTCTGCTTCACGGATTCCATCCAGTCTCACTTATGTTCAGCTTGAAGTAGCCCACAAGATATAATAGTAGCTATGGTGTGAAATGTCTCCTATCCATTAGTTGCCCAAGCTCAGTGGACAGCCATGCATATTGTTGGCTAGGATCTCCTTGAGAACACATTTGATGCTATTCGATCATACCACTGCTAATATGATAACCGAATCAGCAGACAGTCTGCCAGATGCTCAGACGACTTATATATCATTGACCTTGCTTTCAGAGGCCTGTGTGGCGCTAACCGCGAGGGAGAGGCTACTACTCTTCTCGATGACCTACATTCCTTGATCACTGTACATGATGTACGAAGAGTATCCTTGCTGCTGAGCAAGTACAGAAAGACATAAGTACCGCAGTACATGCTGGTGACATGGGAATATTCTCAGTAATATATGTCAGTGTTCATCGTCAAAGAGGTTCTTTAGGTGTAAACTGAGCTGGAAACAGGGTATGGCTGAGAACTAAGTCCAGGTATCAGCTAATGTCTTCATACATTTCAAGCAGTACAGTGATACAAAGCACTCTTGACACACGTGTCCTTCTGAGTACATGGTAGCGACCGTTGGTACATCTGCAACTCTACTGGAGACTATGACAGAGGTGGCTAACTTGTATTCTGTGGAACGGCGTGTCACAGCTGCCAATTAGAACAGCATTGCCTTTGACTGCTTCAAGCCTACTCTTGCTCACTTCACCAGCAGTGAACAGTTGATGGTAGTGTGAGAGTTACCACAAGAATCCCTTTTCTTTGTTTACGTTGGCGAAAATATAGGTCAATTGGTGAAGTAGCCGGTGAGAGACGCTCAAAGAGGAAGAGGAAGGTAGTGTCACA